TTAGTGGCTTCAACCAGGGACCTGTTCTTGCTCATGGCCGGGCTCAGCGGGGTGCTGCTGCTGTGTCCTGTGGTACTGGCCAGCTCACACCTGCGGGCAATTGGGCCACGGAGCCACGGTGACGTCAGCATGTCTCAGGCCGCCTGCTCTGGGCCTCCCCTCGCCTCCTGGTCTGAATTCCTTCATGTCACCTTTGTGCTCCAGGCGGGCAGAGGCAGGAGCTTCGGGTCAAATCAGCCCAGACCCGGGTGGGGGTGGGGAGGGGGGCAGACATCTGCTCGGAACCTGAGCCGGCGGTCTTGTGGCCTCTTCAGTGTGGAGCTTATCAGCTCTCCTGGCACAAGCAGGTCACATTCAGGCAAGATGTGAAGTGCTCTTTTGCCCAGAGGGTTGGCACATGGTCCCTGCCCCCTGAACCCTAGTGTCATTTCTGGAACAGGCCCCCTCCAACTCGACTGCCTGGCAGGCCTACAACGCCGGCGTGAAGATGGGCTGCTGGGGCCTGGTCATTTATGCAGCTACTGGTGCAATCTGCTCAGGTGAGTGACAGTGAGCCAGACCACACAGCCCAGGAAACTCTCAGCGCCCAGACACGGGTGAGGGCATCCTGCTGTCAGGCGGGCCCTGGCGACTAAACAAGGCCACCCATCAGGGACAGAGGCTTGGGCACATGTGTGTCCCCACCTTAGGGAAAGGCCACCATTGCCTAATGCCAGAACTGGGTGTTCCATACCCCTGCCTGCCCAGGGGCTCTTCACCAGGGGTGGGCTTAGGGCGCCAGCAGGACTGCAGGACCTGTGCCTCTGAGCCCAGGACGGGTCTGGCTGTCGGAGCCAGGAGGGCAGGAGAGGTGGTGTGGGCAGCTTGGGCCCTACGTGAGGGCACTTGGTGCCTTTGGGGCCTGCCGACAGAGTGGCTGTGGGAGTGGTCAGCTGGGGAGAGACCTTCACTTGAGGCACAGTTCTGTCCTGTGGGGTGTGGGTCAGGGCGACAGGAGAGGAGGGAGCACACCGATTGCTGGGCTTGCCCGTCGGTCACTGTCCTGTGGCCATGCTCTCTCTGCAGCCCTGTTACAGAAGTACTTGGACAACTACGACCTGAGCATCAGGGTCATCTACGTGCTGGGGACGCTGGGCTTCTCCATCGGCACGGCCGTAATGGCCATGTTCGCCAACGTCTACGTGGCCATGGTCATGATCGGCACCATGGGCATTGTCTCCATGAGCATCTCCTACTGCCCCTACACCCTGCTGGGGCAGTATCATGACACCAAGGAGGTGCGTGTGCAGCGGCTGGGGGCTGGGTGCAAGGCAGCAGGGCACAGGGTCACCAGCTGGGAGCATACCCAGGGGCGCATCATGAGGCACACCTGGCTCCTTCTCGGCTCAGATCTAGGCAGGGCTCCACGCCTTCTGCATGGGGGCATGCAAGACACAGATGGCCCCCCCGAAATAGCCAGCAGCACTGCCACCTCCCTGGTTCAGTCGAAAGCATGGGCTCCTGGTCACAGAGGGCCTGCACCTTCAACTGCCCCCTGCTGGCTCCTGCCTGAAGGCTTGAGGTGCACTTCCCAGGCTTGGTTTCGGGGTGTGGGAGGCTGCCTGACCCCTCTGATCCCCTTCCCACTCAGCCACGCCCCGAAGGAGGGGATGTTGGACCTGCACTGTTCTGTGGGATAGAAGGCAGACCACTTTGCAAGGCCACACTTCAGTAGCTACATTTAAGAAGTGAAAAGACAGGTAAAATCAATTGTAGTAGAATATTTTATTTAACTCAATATTCAAAATTGAGGTGTTTTGCATTCTCAACCAAGTCCTTGAAATTCACTGTTTATTTTATACCTACAGCACCTCTCAATTCAGACCAGCCACCTTTCAAAATGCTCAGTAGCCACAGCTCAGATATAAACCATCTTCTCGGACTTAAAATATGACCCTTCAAAGGGAAAGAGAGAAACACAGAAAAGCCTATGTCTCTTTCTTTCTAAACCTAAACTATGTTTAATTTTCTAGTCTCTTACACAGTCATTAAAACAAAATAAATTTGCTGTGATTAGGTGCCTACCAAATACCAAACTAATAAATATCTAAATAATACCATTATTTTTTAAGTAAACTTTTTAATCAAAAGTATAACATGACTACAGAAAAGTACAGATTGTAAACAAACAGCTTTGATGGATGTTTGGGAAACATTCTTGTAAAACCAGTGCAGACCCAGAAACAGCACGAGGGCCTCTTTGTCCTGACTTCTGACCCCACACGCCTGTCTTGCTGGCATTTGACCTGATGTGACTGGAAGTCTGCTGTTTGTCCTGCACCTCCTGTCTGGTTCCCCTGTGCTTGCACGTGGCACGCCATTCCTTTCCACATCCCACTGTGCGGCTGCCGTTTGTTCACTATCCTGCGGCTGCTAGCATTCAGTTTCTCCTTGTGGGGTCAGTGCCGATAGGGCTGCAGGGGGCATTCTCGCCACGTCCGCTGTGCACTTGCAGCCTGGCTGGGGTAGATTATGTGTGCGCGTGTTGCAGTAGAAGCACATGACTTTGTTTCCCCATGTGGCCCTGTGCCGCTCATTGTAAGGGGACATGTTCCCCACCCTCACTGCCACACCATCTTTGTCAAAAGCCGGGTGTCCATCTGTGGGGGCAGCATCTCTGGTCTCTGTGTTCTCTTCCATTGGTCTGTCTGTCCTGGGACACACATCCCACTGTTCCGAATAGTTTATCATCAGACCTTGGAACCTGCTGTATAAGTCCTTCTACCTTGTCTTCGAGATTGTCTTGGCTGTCCTTGACCCTTTTCATCTAAATGTTGTAATCAGCTTCTGGGCCTTTTTACTGAAAACACGTTGATTATACAGTGTATAGATCGAGTCAGGGAGAGTCACAAACTAGAGTACAGGCATACCTCAGAGGAGGTGTGGGCTCGGTTCCAGACCGCTGCCACGTAGAGTGGGTCAGAGGAGCATTTTGGTTTCCCAGGCCATATAAAAGTTAGGCTTTACTATGCTGTAGTCTATTAAGTGTAGAATAGCATTATGTCTCAAAAATAATGTACATACTTTAATTAAAAGATACTTTATTGCTAAAAATTCTAACCATCATCTGAGTTATCAGCAAGTCATAATCTTTTGGTGGTAAAGGGTCTTGCCTTGATGTTGACGGCTTCTGATCAGGGTGGTGGTCGCTGTCATGCATGGGTATGGTTCGTAGTGCCCCGGAACAGTTACAATAAGAGCAGCAAAGATTGCTAATCACAGGTCACCATAACAAATACAGTATTAATGAAAATAATTGAAATATTGTATGAATTACCAAAATGTGACACAAAGTGAGCAAATGCTGTTGGAAAAATGGTTCCAATAGGCTTGCTTGACAAAGGATTGCCACAAGCCTTCAGTTTGTATTAAAAAAAAACAAAAACCAATATCTGCGAAAGTGCAGTAAAATGAGGTATGCCTGTATTAAGCCTTCCTATCCATAAATACCAGGTATGTCCTTCTCTTAGTCCCAATAGCATGTCTGTAGAGTCTTTTGCACTTTCTTACCTACACAGTCACATCATCCATGTATAATGAGTTTTATTTCTTCCTTTCCAATCCTTAATATGTTTTATTTATTTTCCTTGCCTTATTGCAATGGCCAGAACCTCCAATACAGTGTTGAATAGAAGTGGGACGGGGTCGGGGAGACAGGCTGAGTGGTCGCCAAGCAGCTGAGTGGAAGGCAAGTTCTGTTTCCGGACTTCTGAGCTGATATGCAAACCACGGGAATACTGCCTGATGGCCCGACTGCCCGCGGTCCTCACCACATGCTCTCTTCTCTTGCAGTACGTCCACCACAGCCCCGGGAACTCGAAGCGTGGCTTTGGCATAGATTGCGCCATCCTCTCCTGCCAGGTCTACATCTCCCAGATCCTGGTGGCGTCCGCCCTGGGGGGCGTGGTTGATGCTGTCGGGACTGTGCATGTCATCCCGACCGTGGCCTCCGTGGGCTCTTTCTTGGGCTTCCTCACAGCCACGTTCCTGGTGATCTACCCAGAGGTGCCAGAAGAGACCAAGGAGGAGCAGAAAGGCCTGTCTTCCCGGGCCTCCGGGGAAGGCGGGGGCAGCAGCGAGAAGCCCACCGTCCTGAGGCTGTCCCGGAAGGAGGGCCTGCGGGGGCCAGTGGAGACAGAGTCGATGGTCTGAGCCGCGCGCACACATTCCAGCGGGGTGGACGGGGCAGGCTGGCCGGCCTTGCTTTGCTGGCAGCACGAACCAGAGTTCTTCCACAAAGGGAGGGGAGGCCCCATAGTTGTAGGGTAGCTTTGAGCCACTAGGCAAAAATACCATGCTAATTACTTTTTCCATGAGTAAAACAATCATTTGAATTTTTTTTATTTGAAAATCTTTTAATTTCAGCTCTATATTTTATTCTGCATGTTTTTTAAATTGCAAACCAGATTTACAGTATAGACAATAAGCAATTTAGAAAATAAGATTTTGCATTTCCAAAGCTATAATTGAGAACAATACCTGGTGTCCTTTGCTACATCTCACCTGAACACTTGAGATCCAGTGACGTTTCTGTCAGGTTTTCCCTCCGGACACCTCCAGGTGCTTGGGTGCTCAGTCAGGTCACGTCACAGCTCACTGGTGCTGCAGCTGTTGGAGACTATTACGATTATTTAGGAAAAAATTTTTATAAACTGAAGCTTTCTTGGAAGAGTAGCATCTGCTCCTCTCCTCCGAGTCCCCGGGCAGCGGTGGGGGCTGCCACGCACCAAAGCTGGGGGGAGGCAGGGCCCCGGTGCCTCTCCTGGGTAGGAAGGGCAATCTGCAAGGGCCGGTCCCAGACACCCCACCCGGGGGGCACCAGTCAGGGGACGCCACNTGGGCCTGCAGGTAGGAACGTTCGCCCTCAGGACTCTTAATGGCACGCATGTGCACACAGTGGCACCCTGTCTCTGTGCCGCTGGAGCAGACCGGGGTGGGTGGGTCTACAAGTGTGGACATCTGCGTGCCTGCACCTGATGGCCACGTGTCTTGCAGGCCTTCCGGAGCAGTACTACAGTCTTACCTGGTTCCTGAGCCCCATCCTCGGCCTCATCTTCACACCCCTCATCGGCTCTGCCAGCGACCGATGCACCCTGAGCTGGGGCCGCCGGCGGCCCTTCATCCTGGCCCTCTGTGTGGGCGTGCTCTTCGGCGTGGCCCTGTTCCTTAATGGCTCTGCCATCGGTAAGTGCCCTGCCAGCTCCGCACCCGGCAGAGTGTGATGTTGAAGGGCTCGGGGTGGCGTGGGGCTCCCGCAAGCCCAGCCCCCCTCGTCCCAGAGCCAGGCCCCACGTGGGAAAGCCGCAGGAACCTGTTCACAGGGAAGCGCTTCCTGTTGTGACCCGTTTGTTTTTAATGCGTATCAGACACCACGTCCTGTTTCCAGCATTATTTCACAAATTATCTTTTCTTTCTTCTCCTTTCTTAGATTTGGTATTGAAAACATCCAGACTTAGTTCTATACTTGTTTTTCTTTTTCATTGCTAACGTTTTGTTTTGCCTTTTTGTGGTGGTGTTCTTAATGAAAGCGACCATATGTGGGAAAATAGTTTTTGCCCTGAGGGTGCCCTTCAGAGTGTTAAGAAACAAAGCCTTGCTTTCTGGCAGTGACATTTCGAGACCGGCTGGATCTTGGTGCTGCTGCCTGCCAGCTCACCCCGTCTGCGCCCTTCAGATGGAGGTCACAGTGCTGGACGCTCAGCAGCGGCCGCGGGTGACCTGGCATTGTGGGTGCCGCACTCGGCGTCTGGGGGCCTGTGTGGGGACGCGCCAGAGCCAGGGGGCTGCTGTCCCTCTCTGGCTGTCCCCTGGCCCTGGGGAGCAGCTGCCCCTTCCTGCTGGTACCTGGGGAGAATGGCGGCTTTCTCAAGGCTGTCCTCAGGGTGGTCCCATCCCAATCGGGGCTTTCTGCTCAGGGTCAGGGTGGCCAGCAGAGAGCTCCGGTCAGAAGCCCCCTGCCTTGCACCCCACATGGGGTGGGTTTGTCTGCATGCCAACTGCTCTGTGGCACTTTGGGGCCAGCCCAGACTGTGGGCCCACGGGTAGCCGAGTCTAGTAAACCAGCTGTAGCTCAGCTTCTGGGCTTAATTAACAATTCGGCCTTGGATTCAGAGATGCACTCGCCTGCGGCAGGTGGGGCTTAGAGTGTGACCAGCTTCCTTTGGGGGTGCACAGCCTACTTACGGAGGAATTGTGTGAAAAGTGAGGCTGTTTGCCTCTTCCGCTTATGACATACTTCTGGACCTGAGCCGCTCAGACAGTTAGACTGGACAGCTCCCCGTGGAAGGGGTGAGTCTAGGCCTTATTTCCTTCAGAGGCCGACCTCCCACAGAGAGGGAGTCGGGCGCAGGGCTGGGTGGATGCCGCCCACGCAGTCTGCCGCGCGGGATTGTGAGTGCCCGCCCTCCAGGGTTAATTCTCTGTGAAGCAGATTGGAAAATACACACATGCTTAGCAAGTAGCACCAATAAGACATTCAGGGTCGTCCTCCGGAAGGCCTGTGAAACCATGGTGTGCTGGCGGGGAGTGTGGCTTCCCTAACGTCAGCCTGGAGGGGGGGTCCTGCACATGGCTGGGTGGGTGCACCCTCCCTTGTGAGGCACCGGCGCGGAACCCCACACGCAGGGCGTGCGTGTCGGTGTGCATGACGGAATGTGTCACCGGTCACACTCCCTTGCTAATGCTCAGGCAGTGCTCCTGACACAGCCCCTGGCCCCAGACAAGGTGGGTAGAAGTACCACTCTCCTCTTTTTAGACGCAAAATGTAAAGGTAAGTCAGCTCTTCGAGGTTCATTGAATGTGATTAGGGAGGAAAAAGCCTTGCAGACAGCAGATCTGGAGACGATGTCTCCTATTCTGAGTCTGTGCCCAGAACATGCCCCCTTCCAGTCGTCACCGGCCCCCCGGACGGGACCTGCGCTCAGGTCAGCCCAGACCTGACCACTGCGTGTGCTGCGTCAGGTCTGTCCCTCGGCGATGTCCCCACCCGGCAGCCCATTGGCATCGTCCTCACGGTGCTGGGAGTGGTGGTCCTGGATTTCAGTGCCGATGCCACCGAGGGGCCCATCCGTGCCTACCTGCTGGACGTGGTCGACAGTGAGGAGCAGGACATGGCCCTCAACATCCACGCCTTTTCTGCCGGTGAGAGTATACCTGCTGCCCTAACACCCCTGCCCTCACCTGGCCTGCCCGGGGACCACCGGCGTCAGGAAGCTGCTCCCAGGGCGAGCATTCCCATGCCCCAGGGCCGGCCCCCCGGCAATGTCCCTAGCATCCCAGGACGTCCCCACAGCCTGCTGGGGCTCCACCTCCAGTGCCGGCGGCCAGGGCAGGGAGCAGGCCCTGTGCCAACCACTTCCTGCGACCAGCCCCTTCCCATCCATTGGGAGTGCCGCTTTCCTGAGCACAGGGGACAGCAGTCAGTACCACAAGGAGTCGGGGTAGCCACTTGTGCCCCATCCCAACGGTCACCTGTTCCTAATTTACAGCGCGGGAATCTCTGAGGCCAGACAGTTTGCTTTTCTTTTCCGATCGTTTCCTCACTGTCCATCCCCAAATCTTGTGTCCCGATTCGTGATGACGTAGCTAGTGCTGGCCCTGCTCCCCCTTGAGGGTGAACTCCCTGCTAGATCTTTCCTGGCCTGCCTTCCATGGGGGGTCGAGGTCCCTGCACCACTCACTGGCCGCTTCTGTCTCCTCCTGCCTGCCCAGGCCTTGGTGGGGCCATCGGCTACGTGCTGGGGGGCCTGGACTGGACGCAGACCTTCCTGGGCACCTGGTTCCACACGCAGAACCAAGTGCTCTTCTTCTTCGTGGCCATCGTCTTCACCGTGTCAGTGGCCCTGCACCTGCTGAGCATTGAGGAGGAGCAGTACAGCCCCCAGCAGGAGCGGAGCGGGGAGGTGGCCGCCACCCTGGGCCCCGCCGCCCACCGCAGCGCCTTGTTCCCCGACGAGGTGCAGTCAGAGCACGAGCTGCCCCTGGACTACCTGGACGTGGACATGGTGCGCAGCAAGAGCGACTCGGTGCTGCACGTGCCGGACGCCACCCTGGACCTGGGGCCCGAGCTGCTCTTCCTGCACGACATCGAGCCGTCCACCTTCCACGACGCCTCCTCCCCCAGCACCCCGCGCAGCACCAGCCAAGAGCTCGCCGAGGCCGAGCTGCCCCCCCTGCCCTCACTGCTCAGGGAACCCGCCAAGGAGGATGAGACACTGCTCGATAATCACTTGAATGAAACCAAAGTCCCGAATGGAAGCGGCTCCCCACCAAGAGATGGCCTCGGCAGCTGCTCCAGGGCCGACGGGAAGCCCTCGGCCACAGCCGGCACCATGAGGCGGCGAAGGCACATGTTCCGCCGGCAGGCCTCCAGCACCTTCTCCTACTACGGCAAGATTGGGTCCCACTGCTACCGCTACCGGCGGGCCAACGCCGTGGTCCTCATCAAGCCCTCGCGCAGCATGAGTGACTTGCACGACCTACAGCAGCGCCAGCGGTGCCGGCACCGGAACCAGAGTGGGGCCACCACGTCCAGTGGGGACACGGAGAGCGAGGAGGGCGAGGGCGAGACCTCCGTGCGGCTGCTCTGGCTGTCCATGCTCAAGATGCCCAAGGAGCTGATGCGGCTGTGTCTCTGCCACCTGCTCACCTGGTTCTCCGTCATTGCCGAGGCCGTGTTCTACACTGATTTCATGGGCCAGGTCATCTTTGAAGGGAACCCCAAGGTGAGCCCCGGGCCCCGTTCCTGGCACTGGGGTGCAGGCTCGGCAGTGGTGACAGCTGGCACATCACAGGGTGGCCACTCCCAAGGCTGCTTCCTGCCACCCGCTGGAGCCCCAGCACCCACGTGATACAGGGGTGGGAGGCGGACATGGGCAGCTGGCCAGCATGTGCCCCGTTCATGTGGCCAGAGGTCCATGGTGAACAGCAGAAACACCAAGGGCTTTAGCCGGGGCAGGAGCGCTCTGAGGCTGCCACCAGGCATTGCTTCAGCTGTGCTGTCGTCCTACCTGCCCCTGAACTTAGTGGCTTCAACCAGGGACCTGTTCTTGCTCATGGCCGGGCTCAGCGGGGTGCTGCTGCTGTGTCCTGTGGTACTGGCCAGCTCACACCTGCGGGCAATTGGGCCACGGAGCCACGGTGACGTCAGCATGTCTCAGGCCGCCTGCTCTGGGCCTCCCCTCGCCTCCTGGTCTGAATTCCTTCATGTCACCTTTGTGCTCCAGGCGGGCAGAGGCAGGAGCTTCGGGTCAAATCAGCCCAGACCCGGGTGGGGGTGGGGAGGGGGGCAGACATCTGCTCGGAACCTGAGCCGGCGGTCTGGTGGCCTCTTCAGTGTGGAGCTTATCAGCTCTCCTGGCACAAGCAGGTCACATTCAGGCAAGATGTAAAGTGCTCTTTTGCCCAGAGGGTTGGCACATGGTCCCTGCCCCCTGAACCCTAGTGTCATTTCTGGAACAGGCCCCCTCCAACTCGACTGCCTGGCAGGCCTACAACGCCGGCGTGAAGATGGGCTGCTGGGGCCTGGTCATTTATGCAGCTACTGGTGCAATCTGCTCAGGTGAGTGACAGTGAGCCAGACCACACAGCCCAGGAAACTCTCAGCGCCCAGACACGGGTGAGGGCATCCTGCTGTCAGGCGGGCCCTGGCGACTAAACAAGGCCACCCATCAGGGACAGAGGCTTGGGCACATGTGTGTCCCCACCTTAGGGAAAGGCCACCATTGCCTAATGCCAGAACTGGGTGTTCCATACCCCTGCCTGCCCAGGGGCTCTTCACCAGGGGTGGGCTTAGGGCGCCAGCAGGACTGCAGGACCTGTGCCTCTGAGCCCAGGACGGGTCTGGCTGTCGGAGCCAGGAGGGCAGGAGAGGTGGTGTGGGCAGCTTGGGCCCTACGTGAGGGCACTTGGTGCCTTTGGGGCCTGCCGACAGAGTGGCTGTGGGAGTGGTCAGCTGGGGAGAGACCTTCACTTGAGGCACAGTTCTGTCCTGTGGGGTGTGGGTCAGGGCGACAGGAGAGGAGGGAGCACACCGATTGCTGGGCTTGCCCGTCGGTCACTGTCCTGTGGCCATGCTCTCTCTGCAGCCCTGTTACAGAAGTACTTGGACAACTACGACCTGAGCATCAGGGTCATCTACGTGCTGGGGACGCTGGGCTTCTCCATCGGCACGGCCGTAATGGCCATGTTCGCCAACGTCTACGTGGCCATGGTCATGATCGGCACCATGGGCATTGTCTCCATGAGCATCTCCTACTGCCCCTACACCCTGCTGGGGCAGTATCATGACACCAAGGAGGTGCGTGTGCAGCGGCTGGGGGCTGGGTGCAAGGCAGCAGGGCACAGGGTCACCAGCTGGGAGCATACCCAGGGGCGCATCATGAGGCACACCTGGCTCCTTCTCGGCTCAGATCTAGGCAGGGCTCCACGCCTTCTGCATGGGGGCATGCAAGACACAGATGGCCCCCCCGAAATAGCCAGCAGCACTGCCACCTCCCTGGTTCAGTCGAAAGCATGGGCTCCTGGTCACAGAGGGCCTGCACCTTCAACTGCCCCCTGCTGGCTCCTGCCTGAAGGCTTGAGGTGCACTTCCCAGGCTTGGTTTCGGGGTGTGGGAGGCTGCCTGACCCCTCTGATCCCCTTCCCACTCAGCCACGCCCCGAAGGAGGGGATGTTGGACCTGCACTGTTCTGTGGGATAGAAGGCAGACCACTTTGCAAGGCCACACTTCAGTAGCTACATTTAAGAAGTGAAAAGACAGGTAAAATCAATTGTAGTAGAATATTTTATTTAACTCAATATTCAAAATTGAGGTGTTTTGCATTCTCAACCAAGTCCTTGAAATTCACTGTTTATTTTATACCTACAGCACCTCTCAATTCAGACCAGCCACCTTTCAAAATGCTCAGTAGCCACAGCTCAGATATAAACCATCTTCTCGGACTTAAAATATGACCCTTCAAAGGGAAAGAGAGAAACACAGAAAAGCCTATGTCTCTTTCTTTCTAAACCTAAACTATGTTTAATTTTCTAATCTCTTACACAGTCATTAAAACAAAATAAATTTGCTGTGATTAGGTGCCTACCAAATACCAAACTAATAAATATCTAAATAATACCATTATTTTTTAAGTAAACTTTTTAATCAAAAGTATAACATGACTACAGAAAAGTACAGATTGTAAACAAACAGCTTTGATGGATGTTTGGGAAACATTCTTGTAAAACCAGTGCAGACCCAGAAACAGCACGAGGGCCTCTTTGTCCTGACTTCTGACCCCACACGCCTGTCTTGCTGGCATTTGACCTGATGTGACTGGAAGTCTGCTGTTTGTCCTGCACCTCCTGTCTGGTTCCCCTGTGCTTGCACGTGGCACGCCATTCCTTTCCACATCCCACTGTGCGGCTGCCGTTTGTTCACTATCCTGCGGCTGCTAGCATTCAGTTTCTCCTTGTGGGGTCAGTGCCGATAGGGCTGCAGGGGGCATTCTCGCCACGTCCGCTGTGCACTTGCAGCCTGGCTGGGGTAGATTATGTGTGCGCGTGTTGCAGTAGAAGCACATGACTTTGTTTCCCCATGTGGCCCTGTGCCGCTCATTGTAAGGGGACATGTTCCCCACCCTCACTGCCACACCATCTTTGTCAAAAGCCGGGTGTCCATCTGTGGGGGCAGCATCTCTGGTCTCTGTGTTCTCTTCCATTGGTCTGTCTGTCCTGGGACACACATCCCACTGTTCCGAATAGTTTATCATCAGACCTTGGAACCTGCTGTATAAGTCCTTCTACCTTGTCTTCGAGATTGTCTTGGCTGTCCTTGACCCTTTTCATCTAAATGTTGTAATCAGCTTCTGGGCCTTTTTACTGAAAACACGTTGATTATACAGTGTATAGATCGAGTCAGGGAGAGTCACAAACTAGAGTACAGGCATACCTCAGAGGAGGTGTGGGCTCGGTTCCAGACCGCTGCCACGTAGAGTGGGTCAGAGGAGCATTTTGGTTTCCCAGGCCATATAAAAGTTAGGCTTTACTATGCTGTAGTCTATTAAGTGTAGAATAGCATTATGTCTCAAAAATAATGTACATACTTTAATTAAAAGATACTTTATTGCTAAAAATTCTAACCATCATCTGAGTTATCAGCAAGTCATAATCTTTTGGTGGTAAAGGGTCTTGCCTTGATGTTGACGGCTTCTGATCAGGGTGGTGGTCGCTGTCATGCATGGGTATGGTTCGTAGTGCCCCGGAACAGTTACAATAAGAGCAGCAAAGATTGCTAATCACAGGTCACCATAACAAATACAGTATTAATGAAAATAATTGAAATATTGTATGAATTACCAAAATGTGACACAAAGTGAGCAAATGCTGTTGGAAAAATGGTTCCAATAGGCTTGCTTGACAAAGGATTGCCACAAGCCTTCAGTTTGTATTAAAAAAAAACAAAAACCAATATCTGCGAAAGTGCAGTAAAATGAGGTATGCCTGTATTAAGCCTTCCTATCCATAAATACCAGGTATGTCCTTCTCTTAGTCCCAATAGCATGTCTGTAGAGTCTTTTGCACTTTCTTACCTACACAGTCACATCATCCATGTATAATGAGTTTTATTTCTTCCTTTCCAATCCTTAATATGTTTTATTTATTTTCCTTGCCTTATTGCAATGGCCAGAACCTCCAATACAGTGTTGAATAGAAGTGGGACGGGGTCGGGGAGACAGGCTGAGTGGTCGCCAAGCAGCTGAGTGGAAGGCAAGTTCTGTTTCCGGACTTCTGAGCTGATATGCAAACCACGGGAATACTGCCTGATGGCCCGACTGCCCGCGGTCCTCACCACATGCTCTCTTCTCTTGCAGTACGTCCACCACAGCCCCGGGAACTCCAAGCGTGGCTTTGGCATAGATTGCGCCATCCTCTCCTGCCAGGTCTACATCTCCCAGATCCTGGTGGCGTCCGCCCTGGGGGGCGTGGTTGATGCTGTCGGGACTGTGCATGTCATCCCGACCGTGGCCTCCGTGGGCTCTTTCTTGGGCTTCCTCACAGCCACGTTCCTGGTGATCTACCCAGAGGTGCCAGAAGAGACCAAGGAGGAGCAGAAAGGCCTGTCTTCCCGGGCCTCCGGGGAAGGCGGGGGCAGCAGCGAGAAGCCCACCGTCCTGAGGCTGTCCCGGAAGGAGGGCCTGCGGGGGCCAGTGGAGACAGAGTCGATGGTCTGAGCCGCGCGCACACATTCCAGCGGGGTGGACAGGGCAGGCTGGCCGGCCTTGCTTTGCTGGCAGCACGAACCAGAGTTCTTCCACAAAGGGAGGGGAGGCCCCATAGTTGTAGGGTAGCTTTGAGCCACTAGGCAAAAATACCATGCTAATTACTTTTTCCATGAGTAAAACAATCATTTGAATTTTTTTTATTTGAAAATCTTTTAATTTCAGCTCTATATTTTATTCTGCATGTTTTTTAAATTGCAAACCAGATTTACAGTATAGACAATAAGCAATTTAGAAAATAAGATTTTGCATTTCCAAAGCTATAATTGAGAACAATACCTGGTGTCCTTTGCTACATCTCACCTGAACACTTGAGATCCAGTGACGTTTCTGTCAGGTTTTCCCTCCGGACACCTCCAGGTGCTTGGGTGCTCAGTCAGGTCACGTCACAGCTCACTGGTGCTGCAGCTGTTGGAGACTATTACGATTATTTAGGAAAAAATTTTTATAAACTGAAGCTTTCTTGGAAGAGTAGCATCTGCTCCTCTCCTCCGAGTCCCCGGGCAGCGGTGGGGGCTGCCACGCACCAAAGCTGGGGGGAGGCAGGGCCCCGGTGCCTCTCCTGGGTAGGAAGGGCAATCTGCAAGGGCCGGTCCCAGACACCCCACCCGGGGGGCACCAGTCAGGGGACGCCACTTCAGGGACTGGCGATCTCCATGCGTACACCACGTGTGCGTGTCTGCGTCTGGGCCCCTGGCCCCGCCATCTTGTCTGAGGCTCCCGGAGAGGTTCTGGACTCCTCCATTGCACTTTGATTCGACCTAAGACCATTTTTTGGGGAATCGTGAGGGCAGAGCTTCGAACTGCCTCTTGAGCCCCACCGCCAGGCCTACCTCGGGCATGTGTGGAGCAGCAGCCCACACGTGTGAACACACGCTGGAAGGCTTCTGAATGCTGACCTCTCCGCCTGCTCATCCTGCCTGGCACTGCAGCCAGACAGGTGCATCATGAGGACCGCATCTGGGACAGGAGGGTTCATGTGCCCGGCGACTCAGCACAGCGTTCCCGGCTCCCAGAGAAGCCGGACTTGGGCTTTGGGGAGGTGCACTCATCAAATGCTGCGGCTATTGGGAAATGCCATTCAAACCACCACCTCTTCACAGCTGAGCAGTTTCTGCTTTTCTTATTTGGAGCCGTCAGGCCAAGCTTACTGGTGTCAAGGAGCAGGTGGCCTGCGCGTCACCAAATGAGGTCAGACGGTTGTGATACTTTGCTGCCTGAAGCCAGTGTTTTCTTAAATAAAGTACTTTAAATGCATGAAAATCATGCTGCAATATAGTCACTCTAAAGCAAATATATATATATACA